CCAGTCTCTTCTCTTTATGAGTATTTTTAATCCACAATAGTTCAGTGATCTCTAAAGCTACGTAAGAAAAAAGGGGAAAAAAGTTGTCTCTGATCTCAACTGCTTCTCTTCTGCTCTAACTAATACCACCTCATTAAGGGACCTACAAGAAAATAAAACAAACAAACAGAGCGGAACATACAGTTCTGGAGACTGGGTCAGCACTGTCAGAGATGCAAGCAGGGACTTGCGGCTACTCCAGGCACAGCAAACGCATCTGTACAGAGATTAATGACTGTATACAAACAACATGTGGAGCAACTTTACTTCTTTCAAAGAACCTGTGTATTTGTTTTGCTAATGCTGTCCTCTCTAGCAAGTCAAAGTCTATAAGTGACGCCTCATCATGAAGAGACGCCTTTTCACTAATGGTGTATCACAAGGATCAATTCAGCAACTTTATAGTTAAACATAAGAGTACCACTACAAATCTACAAGCCCCTTGACAGAGAGAAAAATCTGTCAAACACAGTTTCAGTGTACTTTTCCAATACCAATCAAATCAGTATTTGAGACAGAGATATTTCACCTTAATAATCAATGGAACTACTTAAAGGAAATCCACAGACATCAAAAAAGCACTAGGGTTTTTTCATCACTGATTGAAGCAGTAGTTGGGCATCATCTGTCTTAGCATCATCTATAAGTTTCAAGAAGAATGAAATTCCACGCAAAAAACTGCGTTATGAATTCTGTGCCGTTAAGGTAGCACTTTTCACAGTATGCAGTAACTCACTCAACTTTTAATGTTGCACTTAGGAGACAATTTTATTACACATATTGAAGGGATTTAATTGCAAAGGTAATGTCAGAATAAGAACTTGAGACAGGACTATTTTATCATCAATGCTTGATAGATATTCATTGGCCCTTCTAACACTATTCAGTGATACAGTCTTTGAAACCCAATTTTACAAGCAGATGATGCAAATTTGTCAATTACAATTTCAGTAAGGTTAGTAATTAAGTCTTTTGGACATTCTGAAAATATTTTTTCTTTTGCAATGACCAAGTGGATTTCAGAAAATGAAGTATAATTTTGCACAGTTTTAGTTTGGGGGAGCAATTTTACCAGGAGTCTATAACCAAGTTCAGACATTAAGACTACGATCACATAGAATGAATTAACTACCTTTTCTGGGCTAATGATGCCTGCTCTTAAAGCAGAAAAGTGTAACAAATGAATTCACATCAAGATGAAGCCTACCCATGTATCCCTGGAAAAAAAACAAGCTCTACTAGGAGCTTTTCTTTGGGGAGCAAACTGTTCCTTCCTACTGGAAGAGCTAAGAAGACAACAACTGAAATAACCACGAGAAGTCACTTTATTTTTGAAAAATAAAGCCTCTTAAAATCAATCATCAACCATTGCCTACAAAAGCAATCTCATACACTCCTTTAAACCAACAGGTGTTCCCTGCACCATGGCTTAGCGTCCTAAGAAAGGAACAGGCTGCAACACACAGGATGTTCAAAACAGTTTGTGTCAATGCACTGCTCCCCTGTAAAAAAACTATTTTAAATTCAAACCTGTCTCAAGACACTATGCAAGGAAGGCAGATTGAAGATCATATAAAATTTGTCAGTGTCCCTTTTTACATTATTTTTTATATTTTTTCAAGAGACTAACAGCTGGTACACTATACTGCTTTCTCGAACTGTGGTTTATCTCTTAGCAATACTTTTCTCTGTCACCACATGCTGAGTCAGAGAAGCAGTGGTAGATGGACACTTCATTGCATGCCATATGAGTTTAAAAACGAAGCCATTTTAGGAAAATATCTATCTGAAAATGAGATCTGTAGGAGGGCAATAAATAAATTCCTGAGTGCCACTTACCTTCTTGTTCTATAAAACCAAAAAGCTTCTGTAACATGGATTTCTGTATGGCAATATGAGCATCACCCAGTGATATGAAAAACCACATACTAACTTAGGTGCAGAAAAACAGTCCATGTTCCACTATCCACCACATCCACCCGAGGAGGATATCAGCATATTAAATACGGATGTGTCTAGATCTTTATATAACTTATATGTAAAGTATTCCTTAGATTATGACCTATACTTTTGTTCTTCAAGATGATTTAGCAAGTAATTTTTCTGTTCCTCTACTTTAATAGGAAACTTCTCAGCAGAGAAAAGCTGATTTAAGACAATAAAATTGGAAAATTTGCTGGTTTAGACAAACTGTTTCAGTAAACATCTAAATTTGTTCATCAATAAACATAAATTAATTTTTCTGCTCAAAGGTGTTTTACAAGCTGATGTCTGGAGAACAGTGAAGTGAGGGGGAAGAGATAAAAAAGAGGCAATTTGTTCAAAATGGAGTGGGTGTGATTCTACAGTCTCACAAAACATTCATCTACCATGTGAATGGCAATGTAAAGGTATTAGCCATATGAAACACCATACTTGTGCCAGATGAAGTGTATCTGTACTCTTCCAGTAAAAAAGAAATTATGTTACACATACTGCTGTTTGTTCCCTTCCGAACACCTATAACCCACTAAAAACAAAAAAAGCCTTAAAATACTAGTAAAAATTATAAAATGCATGATAAAACACACAGACAGTGTCCACACAGGCGACTATTTTCTGCCTCACAAGACAAAAAAAACCAAAAGAAATAAAACCTTCTGAAATGAACAGGTAAGTCATTGGCTTCTTAAGACGATCGGCATTAATGCAGGAGAAAAATAAGTATAGCTGTATGAATTTTACAAGGTCATGTGACACTCACGTATACAGACACTCCTCCTTTCCCTCCCACCATCAGTGATTTTCCCCATGAAGAAAAAATAATATCCCACTCTCCCACCTTCATGAAACCCAATGCAGACACCAGCCTTGCTTGGGAGGCTCCTCACAAACCAGCCTGCCCTCAGCAAGCCGTGCGGCTAAAGCGCTCAAAAGACTTCAGCTTTGATGTTTCCGTGTTCGGGTTTTTGTGATAAAAACAAAACGTTGTAACGAGCAGTCCAAACAAATGTTTCCTTCTGGCACCAGGATCGAGGATTTGCGCGTTTTGTTCCGCGGTGGGAGCGCTCGGCTCGGCGGTGCCTGTGCGGGGACCCGCTGCCTGCGGCTCCACAGGGTGGAGACTCACCCAGGCTGACATTGTCTGCATGCCACACACTACATCCCTCGCGCATCCCCGGCGGGCTCCCAGCCTCTCCCGAGCCATGCCCCTCTCGGGGAAAACGCGGGGGCACACAAAGCTCCACCAGTCACCACCGGCACAGCGGAGCCTCACTGGAAAAAAAACACGCTGGGGCGTGCAGGGGTGCCGGGCACAGCGGCGGGACGGTAAATGAGCCCCTTCGCGCCGGTGCTCTCGCCCAGCCCCGGCGGTGCCCCGGCAGGAAACGCCGCCCGCCGGCTCTGCCACCGCCGGCTCCGCCACCGCCCGCTCTCCCAGACAAGACAGACGCGAATGTGGCTCCGCCACTCACCTCGCCCCGGCTCCGGGGCAGCCCCCGGCGGGCAGCGGCACCACCCCGCAGAACAGAGGGGCGAGGCGGCGGGCTCGCTCCCGCTCGCTGCCGGCGGCGGCGGCACCCGGCTCCGCTCCGCCCGCAGACCCCGCGGCGGCAGCGGCGGCGCCTGCTGCTGCTGCTGTAGCTGCTCGTCCCGCGGCCGCTAATGGTGGCCGCCGACACCGGTTCCCTCCGCCGCTCCCTTCCTTTCCCGCTCCTTGTTTCCGCCGAGCGCGGAGCCGCCTCCGCCCGGTGGCCGAGGCGCGTCCCTGCCCGGCAGCGGAGGGAGACACCGCCCCCCGCGCGCCGCTGCCGCCCCAGCGCCGCCGCCCGGGCCCCCCCGCCGCTCACTTCCGGCGCGCGGGCCGCGCCTCGCCCCGCCCCGCCGGGACCGCCGCCAGCGGGGGGGGCAGCGCCGCGAGGGCGAGGGGCGCGCGGGACCGGCGGGCGCGCGGGGGGCGGAGGGCGCGGTGCCGGCCCCTGTGGGGCCGATCCCTGTGGGGTCGATCCCTGTGGGGCCGATCCCTGTGGGGCCGACCCCTGGGGAGCCGATCCCTGGGGAGCCGATCCCCCGGTGCCGATGCCCGGGTCCGCCCGCACCGGGCGGCGGCCAGCGCGCTGTCGGCGGGCGGTGGCCGCGCCCCAGGCAGTTGCGGCTGCGGTTCCGTCCGCAGCTACAGGCGCCGGGTGACGCTCCCCATTCCGATCACCGAGGGTTTCTGTAGGCAGCCAGTTACCAAATCCTGGGAATCCTGCCGAAATCCTCGGTGGTGTGTCCCGCTGTACCCGGGCCAGCCCCGGACCGCACCGCCCCGTCCCCGCTGTGCCCCGGCCGGGAGTTGGCCCCTGTTTCTCATCCTACCACAGCTTCAGGGCCGAGATCGCCATTCTTTAAATTGTTCACAAAATGGAATAAAACGCATTGCTCGCTACTGCAAGTAATGCTACAGGAGAGGAGATTCGCTTAAATACAGTTCATTGCGTGGGCTGCTGGGGCTCCAAGCTCCAGCGCAGGAGAGGTGCCATCCACGCTGCCTCCCGCCGGGAACGTGCCTCTCCCCTGTGCTGGAACCGCTGCTGTGTCGTGCCAGAACACAGGCATGTTTGTTTGCATCAGGTTTTATCTGTCAGCATCTGACAGGGAGAAAACTTCAGTCGGCTAAAGCACAGCGTTTTCCATAAATGAGAACAATTATGCAAAGTGACGCTAGTTGTTGTATTTCTGTAAATACTAATTTACTGACGAGGTTACATGCTAGGTCACCAGCAACATGAAGAGGAAGCTTTTAAAATAGGATTTTCATGTGTACATACAATTAAGTAATTTTAAAGACAAAGTTCACGTGTATAATTCTAACATATTTAGCAAAAAGTCTTTGCTATATTCACCTTAGCACGTAATCACTTCCAAATTCTGGGCAACATAATGAAATGTTGCCAATTAACAACTCCCCAGAGAAGCTGAGATCAAAGTTTCAGACGCAGAAGTATATAAATTCTCAGTGTGGACTAAAAATACATGCATTAATCACTAAGAAACAACAGCAGCCTTATGGAGTTGCAAATAAAATATTTTTAATCCAACTATTCCAAATAGTATATTATTATTGATACATTGCCTCATAATTTGTGCAAGTGGTGCACAATTAAAAAATGTCTTGACTCACATTACTTAATAAAAGTGATAAGTACTTCAATTTTCAGTGCTGTTCTGCACTTGCTGCATATCAGCAGTGAGAGTGAGCTGGCAGTGACTATGAATCTGATGTTATCAGCAGGTTTAGGCCATGTCTCCAGGTTGTATTAATCCCACCATGCTTTCCTACTGATCCTCCATGACCCTGAAGGGATTAGAATGACAACACCTCCTGAGAAGCAGACTCAAGATGAACAGAGAAATCACAGTGAGTGTACGGGCAATACAAGGAGCAACTTGGGTGTGCCATGGCCAAGTTCCTTCTGTAGCTCTGTGGCAGCTCCAGCTACGTCTAACCCAGCACAGAAGCACTGCCAAGTCACGTTCTGCACCACTGCAGCTCAGGAACTGCACGGCCATGAAGTGTGCAAAGCTTCTTACCCTCAACTACAAAATTCTATCAAAAGGAAGAGGACGCTGCAGCTGACTAAGGCAAACTCTGCTTTTGGCATCTAGAAATGTTGTTCTGTTATATCGAACTTGCTAAGTTGCTGAGTCTGAGCAGACAGTAGTCAACACAGTTAATTTAATGTAGGGGAGAGGTCAGAGTCAGACCATTTTAAGCTTGAGGACCAGATTGGATCTGTGTGCATCCTACAGAACCACGATCCAATTATATACATAAGTTACTAATGTAAAATCATCCCCCAGGCCAGGGAAATAGTACATACCTGCAGCAGACATTGTGTAAGGTTTTCAAAGTAGTACAGGGGATTTAGTCATACATCTACCAATAAAATTAATAGCTAATGAATTAATAAAAATAGTGCAGCCTTCTGAGTAGGTTAAAAGGTCGGTTTAAATGTATATCTGCATCCAAATAAGAAAGGATAAAATGAATCATTGTTTTTAATCAAGGCAATAATTCCATGGCCCTACCGTCTCCCTAAATATTGTCTTTGAATCTCAGTTTTAAGTATAGCTAGGCACTGTTGGCACAGAGCTTAATTTTGAATACCTCAAATGTTTTATTTTTTGTATTTAAATAATTCTGAATAAGAAAACATAAACAAACAAAGGTTATACAGATCATTAGACATTTGTGCCAATTTCCATAAAGGACACACCAGGCAAAGGCTGGAAATATGAAAGTTCAAAATTAAAGAAAGACAAAACAAACCTCCCATTTTGATTGCTTTGTTAGACCTAAGAAAGCTCAATTACTTGTGCAGTGGAAATTTAGTATTTTGGTGAAGACCTATCAATCAAAACTACATATATGTGCATATATAGGTACATCTCTCTATATATGCAGCTATCCCATCATGGTTTGATGGAACCTGGAGCGCCTGTGACCCCTGCAAGCTCTAACAGAGCAGTCTGACTCTTTTCACCTGCTTCTTTATCAATTTTTTTGCCAACTACAGTGTTCAAGGTACAAAATCGTTAAAAACCCTTTTCTGTTCATCAATAGCTTGCTCAGCCTATACTGTATCTATTGCTGCTCAGCTCACTGTAATGGCATTTCCAAATGGGGGTCACAACAAAGTATTACAGTATTTCTTAGCAACAGGTATAGCACCCATAGCCATTAACATAAATAATTCAGCTCATCCAGCCTATACATTCAAAATGTCTTTTCTCAGATCTTATCTACTGTTCATAAACAAGAATGTCATGAAGGGGAATCTGACCTTGCAGCAAGTGGTGTAATGACAACAGTAGCCCGTAATAGGAATGCAGACTCGGACAGGAGCTCCTAGGGTTTCAAGCCAGCCAGTATGATCCATAATCCATTGCAGAAACTGCTCATGTTCTGGGTTAGGGCCACTAAGTTTTCCCAGGGCTATTGTTCTTACGGAAGACTGCTACTATTTGTGTGTAGGAACAAGTGCAGAGGAGCACCACGAACGGTGGAGTGAAAACACCATTTTCTGAACTCATTTAATCAGTGTAAATCAGAAAAATCGTGGCTAATTCCAGCTAAAGTACTCCTGAATTACAGTGGGATGACAGCTTTGAATTAAAAACACATAAAGGCTGTGGATAAAACTATGCACACTCTCTTCTTTATGCACCTTCAATTCATTCCACCTCTAAGAAATAGAGAAGCATTCATTGTCTTCCCATTTCTCAGGTGATGAGAGAATAAGCCACCCCCAGAGTCAGAAAGGAAACCTTATTCATAGCTAAGATCTGAATTCTGCTCTCATCAGTGCCAAATCAGTCCCTTGCTTGGGAGGAGACTTCATCACAAAATTATTACTGATACCCTTTTTGTGGAAGAGCCAGCACTACAGACTAGCAAGTAATCTACCTATAGCATTCATTATCATTATCACTCCTTTTAGTGAAGACTCAAACCATCCCATCACACATCTCAATAAATCAGCATGGCTAACATATGCCAAAAAACCATTTTTTCTTGACCCTCAAAGCATTCGGCTTATGCTGCTGGAGCAGGAAGCTTGTTTGTCCCCTGCATTGTTGTAATCTAGTGCATACAGCCGCAAATGTTGTCTTTGCTCACAAAGCTTCTTAAATCCTTTTTTAATTCTACTAAACTCTTTGCCTTGGTGACTGCCCATGACAATTGGATTCCATAGACAGAAAATATACTGTGTGAAGTAGTATTGAAAACCTATTTTGGGAGGTTTTGCTCTATGAATTGGGGCATAGAGGCTGCAGTTAGCTGACTTCACTAGGCACTTGATGAAGCTTCATCTTCTGTGAAGCTCCCCTTGCCTCCATGATCTGTATTACCCTCCATTACTCTTTGTTCCGCACAGCTGATTTTCTGGCTCCTTTTTAGGTCCTTTGAGGAAAATCCTGGCCCTCACGAATGTATCTGACCACCTGTGCAGCCATGCACATAAAAATAGGGAAGGAAGAGCACACACAAAGATTAGGATCTTCCAACACACAGGGCACCACAGGGACTCTCTGGACTCCCCTCCCAGGCTGAAGTCAGTAATTGATTTTAATGGGAGCAGGGCTGAGCTAATGCTGGCACTTTGGAAAATCCCACCCAAGGGATTCAGTGATATTGAAAGTGCTCGAGGCAGGTTAACTGCAGGCATTTCCACTAATGGGGAATGGCGAAGTTGTCTTTATTAATTTTCCTTCTCCAAAGTGCAATTAGCATGTATGTATTTTTATTTCTTTAGGAAAAAAATAACATAAAACGCTTCTATTTCTAGAGATTCTTACTGAAAGGCAAATAAATTAGTGATTTTCTGCAGCACAGTTACAGGCCTTAAGATCTATAACACCCCCAAGATCTATTAATACTCTCCAGCTGCCCTTCTTTTTCCTATATCTGACTTAATATGATTATGAGGGAAAATAATGTCACTGTGGGTCCCAATCACAGCAGTTGCACTGGCCATTCATAAAGCAAGGTTTTTAATCATCTTCTAGAAGACAGGAGAAACCAATACTTCTCATGTGATCATACCTTTAAAACCAAGAAATCTCAGTGCTGAAGGTGAATTGAAAAATGGCCATTAACATAGGAAAAAAAAAGGTGACTTGAACCGGAATGAGGTGCCAACAACAACAAGGTAAACAAATGTAAATAAATGCTAATGTGGAGGACATCAGTTTCTGGAGAAGTCACTGCAGGGTTTTAGTGTGGTCTAAAAAAGAGGCCAAAGCTATGGCAACAATTTTGCAAACAACTCTGCAAATAAATACAGCCTTTGTCTTTGATTTCTTCGAGTGATGTCTCTGAAAATTATGAGGTCACTCATTCATAAAAATTATGATGTTCTGGTACATAATTCACTTAAAATACACAGTGATTCTTTTCCACACATTAAATCAAACAACACTAGAATTTTAAGCATAGGAGCAAACATCACACAGCACTCCAAAAACATTAAAAGATACCATTTGCTACAATGAAATGGCAGAGGTTTGGTTATGAACATCACAGGGAAATGATAGAAGTCTACCAGTTTTGCAGTCTTGAGAACCATTGTTTTACATAAAAAAATCAATTCCACAATATGTTTGAAATGTAATGTAATGTAATGGCCAGTCTTCGTGAGCGAAGATTTGGGAAAGGTCATTGACCCTTCGAGCCTGCGCAGTGGATTTTTTAGGTGAAATACTGCAGGAGGTGAGTGGCAGAGCGGAGTTGGAAAAGAAGTTGGGTTGGATTCTACTTGGTACTTCTACTTTGTGACTGAAATTTGTCCTGAAAAGTTCTTCTCTTTTTACAATGACCTTCTTGATATGACCTCACTGAGTCTTTAGGTATAAAGGCTGTGCCTGATACCAAACTGGAAGAGCCTCAGGACAATCCAGGGGCCAGCCTTAGGCATTTCTCTGGGTCAAGCTGGAAAACACTTCTCAGAAGGTCTTTGGATTTCATGTTATTTATGTTAACATTACAGAGTAAGGCATAGAAGAAGCAACAACTAGTCATTTACCTTTCAGATTGCTTTTAACCTATTTTCACTTCCTCTATGACAACATTTCTCATTTTACACTGAAAATGTTCTTTTATCTCACATCACTTCTGAAGTCTTTTGTTACCGAGTTAGAAAAAGAGAATTTCAATGTAAATATTGAAGATGTTGAAAGGTCCTTCCAGACCAAACACCTTATATGCAGTTAATGCTCATTACAGAATAATTACCTGCTAGATATGATTTAATAATTCTTAAAGTGTAAGAGATTTTATCAGTATGCAAAAAAATAGAGTTATCAGTCACAGTGCTGCCTGAGAGAGAACTGAATTTTGGATCTTCTGCTGCTGCACTGTGAAAATCCAAAAGACTGCATTTATTCCCCTTTTTTTTTTTTACAGAGGGAAATTCAGTCAAACCCATATACTCACTGGCCATAATTGCAGGGGAAAGCTTTGTGTGCATGTACTGCAGCAATGTCACAGTTTCTGGAGCAGCAGGGATAGACACATCTCTGGTATACTCAGTGATGGTACTGAGTTTGTTCTTCCAGTTACTATTAACGGTTCTTTCCCAAGTATCTGCAGCCACGTCTTGTCCTCAGATCTCACTCTGGAAAGTGACCTGCTCAAGTGGACTCTTTTTTTCATTTCAGGAGCCAGCTGGCACTAATCAAGTTGCAAGACCAGCTAGAAAGTACAGCTTTCTCCAGAAGTTCTGTGTTATTTAACTGTACCTAATGTTTACAGACCAGAACTATTTTCTTCCTGTCATTTTCGTGCATATGTGA